AGAGCAATTACATGGTGCTACATCTTTGTCTTTCAAATATTTATTTTATCCCTCCTATTATCTAATGTCCTTCATTATTTTTCTAATGCCAATGTCACTTCATTATTGTGGGATTTTGGAAAGTTTGCACCTAATTAGTCATAGTTTTCAATTCATATTTTAGATAACGGAGATGATTTTAAATTTTTACCTAATTTTCATGAAATTAGTATGTGATTGCTATTTGTAAATGTTTGCAGGAGTCGTCTTTGAGAACCTCGTACTTATTTGTGTTGTGTTTCTTGGAGCAAGAAAATTCTTTAATTCATGAGTAAACATTTCTTGGATGTACATAAAAGCTGGAATACATAACACATAAATGCTCTTCTCTCTTTTGTCTTTTCCCCTTATTATCCTTAAGAAAGAAATAGATAGCTCAAGATATGAATCAATCGATAGTCGTTTACAAAATTTATTATTCCAAGTTGTTAGTGCAACTGAATTTGTAGAAACCAGACGTATAACTTATATGCTTCTGATTTAGATTTATTTGGCACTTCGAATATGCTTTGGATGAATTTAATTTCAGTGGTACAAGATCTCTTTGTTTCAATCTGTTTTCATTCGAAAATAGTACAACTTTTATAGTGTGTATTTTACTAGAAAAAATTTTATATTTAGTGCACGCAATGTGATGTCTACATATTTATTGCAATTCATTAATATGGTAATATATATTTTTTTTACTCTTACCACCATATGTCAATTATTATATTCATTGTACACTTGTTATCACCCTTATTGTTGTTTTCTTGCTTAACTGAACTTTGACATTCATATTGAGATATCTCACTTGCGCTATGAATTGTATAGGAGATCACGACTAATTTTGTGAAATAGTCACATCAATTCTCTCGGGTTGTATGATAACAATGTAATGGTTAAAAAACTTTAGCTAAACCGACTATAGCCTTGATGATAAACATATTAGTAGAAAGTAGACAAATAAATTAGGGTGAAAATTTTACTGCCGGGTACTCCATCGTAGTCCCCTCCAACGGAATTTCCTAATTCCTTAATTTGTTAATTGAGGTATTGTTAATTTTTTTAGGGTTTCAATATTACTGTGTGTGTTGAGGTCTTATGAAGGTTATTATTGTATTTTTACTGTGTGAGTTGATGACACCTTTATGGTAATTGTTTAGTTAGCTTTTCATCATTATTTATAGTCTACAATTATGGTTATCTTGGATAGAACTTAATGATTTAACGGTGTCGGGTGGTTTGTTTTTAACTTGAAAAGTCGCATTCTCAGCCACAAATAACACTCTTAGCGGCTGTTGTGTAAGGAATTCTAATGTTATATAGTACGTAATTATGTACGATGGATAAAGTGATACATGAAGAACTTCAAAATATCTTATGTTTTAAACTTATGGTTGTCGAATGTGCATTTGTTCTTGGCTTTATCTAATGTCAATAAAATAGTC